GAAAGGGACCGGGATGTATTGTCAGACAATTGAGAAAGTCTGAAAAGATGAAAAGAAGTTGTTTTTTTTTCAGCGTCAACAGATATAAACTAATACAAATTGGTTTAAACATAATCAAGAAAAATTAATGCATATTTAAATATTTATTTTAAGTTAAATTTGTGTAAATGAAACTCAGCAACTGGTTAAAGAAGAAATTAGAAATAGGAGTGACACATTTCAGGATTTAGGCCTACATGTTCTCTACATGTTTATAATTTTTGTCATCAAAAATTTAGCTCAAGATTATCCTGAAAAAAATACAACACACATTCTTCTTCTTTCTCTCTCAACTGTCTGGCCTTGTCTTCTACACTTGTATGTGTACTTGCATGTGCTTCTTTTTTTTGGGGTGGACCACAATAGCGAGGCCAGCCCATTCGCCACTCATAAATGTCCATGACTGAGTGAATGACAGAGTTGAGTGTTATATTTCTAACATTGGACCATGGGTCAGCAGAATGCCATGTGACTGAGTTGGAGTTTCCCCATTGGACATTGCTCTTTCAAATTAAATTGGCACCAATGGGTCCTATTAGGGAGCGTTTACAGCCTGCAGTGTTGCCAATTCAGCCCATTTGTCGCTAGATTCAGAGACTTTTTCAGACAAGACTTGGTATAAACTTAATATATGGCTGGACTGTATATGGGTGCCAACCATGGGCTTAGGGCTACACCAGTTGGGCAGTCACCCAGTCGCCCTGGTTTCCCGATTCATTTAGCCTTTTCTCCATTACAGCAAATGAACCACTTTCATTACATGTATCATTATTACTAAAGAAGGCAGGGGAATAACTAAACATAAGACACACCAAGCAGAGAAAGCAGGAGAGAGAGAAGCTACTGGTGACTGTTTAGATCATGAAACTGCAGATCTGAATAGCATGTAAAAAACAGAAACACCAGTAACCGAAAATGAGATGATATGCTTACTGCAGCACAGCAATAAAAGCGCTGATAAGAATTTAAGGGTTTCTGTCCACTGAGACGCTAGAGGGCTTTAATTTGGAACAGATACAGGAAGTACTGAATTTGTATTAATATGTAATTAACTTTAACATGACTAACGGGAGCGACTGAAAACAAGGCTTTATACTAAAACACTGGTATGACCAATTATACATTTCAAACAGATGTAATTATAAATAAAGACCTGCCCCAAATACGTTTTCAGGAAATACAATAGGTGAAAACTGTTGTGTAACCCAGAAGGAGGCTGTGGGCTGTCAGAAACTAAATAAGAAAGATATTCTGTCTCTTTTAACTTTCTCTCTGAGCAATAATTTTACAAGTTAATGTAGCTGAAGTCAGAGCATAGTCTTTGTCTTTAGCTTATGTGTTTGGTCATTTTGTCAGACAACGTTGTGGTTATAAAATCTGGATTTTAACAGTTCAGAGCAGCAACTTGGAAATGGCATGGAATTTAACATGTAGTCTTAATGGGTGTGTGTGTGTGTGTGTGTGTGTGTGTGTGTGTGTGTGTGTGTGTGTGCGCGTGTGTGCGCGTGTGTGCGCGTGTGTGCGCGTGTGTGCATCCGTGTATGTGAGAGAGAGAGAACCTGATCTCATTGTTCCATTCCAGACGGTCTCTGCATTAGGGAGCCACAGACAGGAAGTCAAACTCTTAATTATTTAGGAGAGGTGTTATCAAAGCTGTCTTCTCTCTCTTCCCTCTCTCTCTCTCTCTCTCTCTCTCTCTCTGTCTCTCTCTCTCTATCTCTTTCTTTCATTTTCTTCCTTGTTCTTAATGCATCTGTTCTCTTCTTCTCTTTTCATCTCAGCTGCTTTCACGTCATGTCTTAGCTGTCCTCACATTTCTCTCTCTTATTCTCCTGCATGGCTTTCCTACTTTCTCTCCATCTTCTCTTTGACTTCACCATCTCTCTCTCTCTCTCTCTCTCTTTTTCTCTTTCTCTTTCTCTCTTTCTGACTGTGTGGTGTATCAGGTAACTGGCATGGTATTGTGGGCTAGGCCCATCATCCTATCAGAGTCTGTAATGCAAACAGGACTTGGCAACCTGTCAATAAAATGCTGTATTAAATCAGTTATTTTTACTGCACCACTGCAACACACACACATAATTAAGAGAACTCCACAATAGTCTCACAATCAAGTCTCTTGTTTGAGTTTTTCTCACATGCACACTTTGACTTTTTACTTGAATGTAAGCACCAACTCTTTCCTCTGTCTTACTGCCAAAGTCTCTCTGCCTTACACAAACACAGACCAGTCTCCAGTGTCCAGCTCTTATGATGACAGTTACAGCCTTGTCTCTCTATGTGTTAGTGAGCCGCTGGTTGCTCACATCAAAACGCCCTCCACCTGTTTTTCACTTCCCAGTGATCACTGTTAAAATGATTGAAGCTTCCTCTGTCTTACTACAATCAAGCACATAAGCACACGTGTATGCACGGGTAAGCGTACATACAGGTATGTGCACACAAGCACACGCGCACACACACACACACACACACACACACACACACACACACACACACACACACACACACACACACACACACACCATCGTCGATTCGGTGTTATTTCTCCAGCAGAACAACACTGCCCTCTTCAGGCTGAGTGTTAAAGATAATTTGAAATACACTAAGAAACAGCAGAGGTGTTTGTGTGTGAGTTTGTATGCAGCTGCACATACACATTGGATGAGAAGTATAATTGTGCTTGGTTTGGTTTATATTTAAGATTGCATGAGACACAGTGGTTGGAGAATCAGGTGATGCTTCACAGAGTTTATTTGGCCTTGTAGTTTTTCAAGTTTCTGACTGTGAGCTCATTGCATTGAAGGCGGAACTGATAAATCAACTTTTACAAGCATGCTCTAGAATCAGTCCCCTGTGTTACCTGACCTGAATTTAGGCTTTAATTAATAGGCAAGGGCAGCATTTAAAAGCATTTTGGTTATTCTGTTTATGCACACATTTTCCTTACTTCTGGAGCCATTGCCACATGTGGTGTAGTGTTGGTCTGTGGTAAAAATATTACAGCACAGTTGTCAGCGCAGTTTTTGGCCCCTATCTAGTCAAGGGTTACCGCTTTATTTAGTGTTGCAACAAATGACATCACTTGCAGTGTAGATATCATTTACTATGCTAGAGTGCACACCCGCATATATACACGCTTAGTTGCGCAGTTAAATAGTGTAACAGAGCCTTACGCTTCAACCCTAGTACTTTCGTATGGCTGGCAGATTTTCTTTATTTAACCCAAACACAGGGCAACATTGTAAGAACATTGGTGTGTGCGCACACACACACACACACACACACACACACACACACATACACACACATATACACACACACACACATTGATCAGAGGTTGGGTTAAGCGTGGCAGGCTGCGAGGCATGTTAAGCAGGCTAAGCAGTAGAAAGAGACGTGAGGAAACCGTGGTGAAGCACTCTGCTGTGCATTAGACTGTGTGTGTGTCTGTATGTGTGTGTGCGTGTGTGTACATGTTCACTGCCGTATGTGGTCAACACAGGGTGGGTACCGGCATACATATAGCAGCTGAGCCAAACAGTAGGGTGTCAGCCTCCAAATATACACAGTTGGAAACAGCAATAGATCATTTAGATAATTAGCTAAATTATATAAAAAAGGTGTTTATTTTACAAGTGCTAGAATTTTGATCCTTTTTCAACAAAATTACAGGTGTGATACGTTTATGTAATTAATTCGAAACATCATTGACTTTTAATTCTATCTCACATATGGTGCTTAAGAGTCCCCCAGTGTCTATTTGCTCTTCGATACTAAACATATGGAAGTAAAGCCATGAAATAGAAGAAATTTCACTTTTATTTAGAAAAAAAAATCCAATTTTTTGATTCTTAATTAGACATTTCTAAATATTAAAATATGTTTATGTAATGCATCAGACATCATAAATAGTGTAATAATATTTATTGTTTCACCTAATATGAATGCAGATTCAAGGCAGAAACAAAGAATTTAACACAGTGTATAATGTGCCAAAGCCTGTTCTCACAGTCATCCTTTTGAAATCGTCGTTTTACTTCATTCATTTTCCTTTGAATTTGATTTGTAAGCTGTTGTAGCCTGTCGGCTAAGTGAATGACCATAAAATATCCAGTCAACCCCCATGACAGCATTAAGGATTTGCAACCATCCATTCATCCTCATCCATCCACTTAACATTAAGAACAAGACAGAAAATATATGTGAAGAAAAAAAGGTTTTCAATAACCAGAAACTAGTTCTAACTTTGTTTAGAATATGTAGGATTTTTAGCTGATTCCAGTTTTTAAATCTTACTAAAATAGGTTGAATATCACACCAAAAACTGATTGCCTGTGGATGCAGTTAAAGGATCACTCAGTCACTATGTGATTTCTTTTAGACTGCATAGCAGGTGCCTATAAATAAATCATGTCTGGACGCTGTAGCCTAAACGCATACCAAGGTATCATAATTATCATAGATCAAAAGCTGATGACATTACAGCGTTGGACCGGTCCTATCCCATGTCAGTTCCGCGGCTGCCCATCTTTACGTTGTTTCATTATTGAGTTATGGCATGCATAATTTAACACCGACAGATATGGATCCATCCGTTGAGAGTGTGGAAAGAACAGAGGGAGGGAGAGTGAAACAGATAGAGAGAGAGAAAACAGTCAGGAGGAGAGTGGGTGATACAGGCTGAGAAGGCTTTCCCTCTCTTTTACCTTTTTGCCTGTTTTTCATTTTGTCTTCTCTTCCCTTTTCTCTACTTATACTGTTCTGTTATCCCCCTGTCCATTTCATTTTTTGAAAATTGTTGTTTTTTTTTACTGTTCTGCATAGTTCATCATGATGAGTTTAAAAAAGAATCTGGACATAGGATGAGTGCAATTTTCCATCCTGCATGTACTTGTAAGTGTAAGATTGATCCTTTGTGATGTTTTAAGCATATATTCACACAAGTCTGCATGCTACAGGTTTGCAGCCATACACGGACTACAGTTTTGTGCTGGTGGCCTGTACAGCTGTCGGATGTGGAGCCAGTTTACCTTCCACAGGACACACCCTGCAAGCCTTCCCTGCTGGTACACACACACACACACACACACACACACACACACACACACTTGGCAATATCCTGCAAAAACTTTATACCTTAATTGAACATATATTGTACATTTTAGGAATTCTCTGTTTGATTTCATGCAGTGACATTTATTTAGAAATGAGCGGTCAGTGCAATCCCACAGGTCTTCCACAGGTCTAAGACAGGAAACTGCCATACATTTTTCTCACATGAATGTACATCGCTAATGTCAAATATGACATGAATACATGAAATCATACATTTACAAAAGATTTGTGGTTATGTATATTTTTTGCCTTTCGTTGACGTAGATTACTGGCAAAATATCTGACATTTTCAAATATATTTGATTATTGTAATAGTTGAATTTAATTAATTGGAGGACCCAAAACAATATCACAACTTTAACATATTATCATTTTAATTAATATTGACATTCACCAATCTCTTACATTTTGTAAATGTCTTTTTACCATTTACCTTTGTCTGTGTCTTCTTTACTGATTTCCCCTTTTCGGATGTTTTTGTCCTTTTCCTGTCCGCTCTTCTCACTTCTCTTTTCTCCTCCCACTGCTCTCCTTTTTTGAATCCTCCCCCTCTCTTGTCCTTCTTTGGTCTCCCTACAGTGGATCTCCCTACCCTTCACCTTTCTCTTTCTCTCTCTTCTTCCTCACTGTTGAATACAGTGAAATGAAGCCTTTTTTCTTATGTCTGACTAAAATGGCTTTGTGGATTTTTATTTATTAAAGAACTTCAATTAGGATAATTTTCCCTCTTCATCCACTTCTCATTTTTTCATCTTCTTTCACTTCTCTTCTTCTCCATACCTTCTCTCTTGTTTCTCCTATGTCTTGATCTTTTCCATCCACATCTGTTTTCTTTTTTCCACATCTTCCCCACTCTGCTTCTTTTATATCTCGTTTCTCCTTCTCTTGAAACCTATTGCACATTTATCTCTCCTCTTAGGTTTCAGTGTTTCTCCTATTTCTTTTCCATTTAAATATCTCATTCTTTCCCTCTCTGCACCTATCTATTGGATCTTTTGTCTTTCATTCTATTTATTTTTATATGGGCCTCCTATTTTTTCTTTTTTAGCTCCTCCTCTCCACAGCCACCACCCCACCCTTATCCTTGTGTCTCAATGTCAGCCACAATGCCACCACACCATTTTATGTCATCTTAAATATATCTGTCTGTGTGATTGGAATTAACATATCTGCTACATGTTTGTGTTTCTATATTGGTAAACAGTTCAATTTTAATTAGAAGTAAGTTAATTAAACTCTCCTCCTACACACAGGCAAATAGATGAGTCTTAGATCATTTGTGTCCAAATAATTGAAATTCTTCAATAATGAATTTCATTTTACCAAACACATCCTCTCCTGAGCTCTTTTCCTGTCCTGATTTCATTATAATTTCAATCACTGTAAGAATTTATTGTAGCCTCAATAATTTAATAATCTGCGTTTTCATGCTAATAAATGTCACTATTCTCAGACTCCAGCCACGAGACAATACTCAGTTAATAAAGAAAAAGACTTTAGATGTGCTTTTGTGCACTTTGGTATCTGTTTGTAAGAGACAACGCACTTTGCTTTTCAGGCAGCACTATTAGCATTTTTTTTAAATAAGATGAACATACAAACTGTGTCTGAGCAGCAATAGCCACATCTGTAAGAGATTCACTGAGTCATCAATATGAATTTATCAATATTTAAAAAAAAAAATACAGAAACGTAATATTAACGATAATAATAATATTATTGTATATTGTACATATTTTATTGTATATGTAATTAATGATAGGTGCCAATTAATGAATGTGGGAAATGCTCATGACCTCCTTTTCTTTCCCTCTTTTGCTCCTCCAGGTGTATGGTCAAGGCCCAGGCACCTGATAATAAACACATCTGCGGTGGAGCTGTACTGGGATCAGCCGTCCCAGCCTAATGGACACATCTCTCAGTACAGACTGAACAGAGACGGTCACACTATTTTTACCGGAGACCACCGTGACCAGAATTATACCGACACTGGACTCCTGCCAAATCGCAGGTGGATAACACTCACTTGCGCGCTTTCACACACACATGAATGCGAACATGTACAAGTGTGTGCTCATATGTAGAAGTCACACATGCATAAACACACTTCACTTGTAGCTACATAATTAATCATCCCTTTAATTCCTAATTTTCCCATTTGTGTGTACGTATGTGTGTTTGAGTGTGTTTATTTCGGGGTCACCCTGTTATAAAAGCTCTCCTATCGTCCCACCCATGTCTCTCTCTCAGGACTGCACTCTCTATATGTTTGTTTGTGTCATTTAATGGGCAAATATTTGACATACCAATGACAGACGCAAACATTACCACACACACGCACACACATTAAAATCACCAATCAGATCTGGTTTTTGCTTACAGACAGCAGTGGAGCGTAGATTTTATTTATCTGTTTATTTTCATTTAACCTTTACTAATCCGTGTCTTTTTTCCAAGATGGATTTTCTGTTTTAATTATGTGAGTGCAAAATGATACCCTCTCTCCTCCCCTGTCTCTTTCTCCTGGCTCCTTCTCCCTCCCGAGACAATTCCTTTTTACCCCAAATAGAATTCTTGGGATAACACCGTGCAGTACTCCAGTCTCCTCTATGTGTGTGAAAGAGAAAGGAAGGAAGGAAGAAGATAGGACTGTATGTGGGTGTGATGTTTAATTTTCCCTAATTCCAGATAGTCTGCCAGAAGGCATTTATGTCCCGACCCTTCACTTCTCATCACTTGCCTCACTTCCTATTCACTTCTCCTTCCTCTCTCCCTCCCTCCCCTCCTGTCCTTTCTCTCTTACCTCATTCCCTTCCTCCTTCCCTTCTTTTCCCAATTTAGCCCTGCGCCAAGAATTACACAGGGAGCACCGGCCCCATTATCCAGGCAGACTTGTGTGTGTTTTTGCCTGGGTGTGTGTGTGTACCCACGCATGCCTTTCTGTGTGTGCATGTGTCTGTGCGTGAGACAGCTCAAAGTGGCCATTGATTATTTATGACAATGTTGATTAGCTGTCACTTTGCTTCGGCAGCCCAGGAAGTGTCTAAGATGACGAGAGAATTAACCTATTCCCTCTGGCTGGCCCCGCAGGACACACACACGCACACACACACACACAGCCACATCCATAGCCAAACAGATGCAAATGCCCCACTCATCGATTACCTACACACACACACACACACACACACACACACCATTTTACTTTTGATATCCCAAGGCGGTGTTTACATTTAAGTAAATATCTTGCAGTGATGAAGTGTTTAAATTCATTCTCCCACTGAAACCTTATGCCATGATAAAATTCTCACTCGCCATCACACTCACACACTGCTTTGCTCTCGCTCTCTCTCTCTCTCTCTCTCTCTCTCTCTCTCTCTCTCCTTGATGTATCTCAATGAGGTGTATTTATTTGTTTTTCTCTTTGTGTTTCTCTATCTGTGTGTGTGTCTGTGTCTGTGTTTATAAGAGTAACATATGAGGGGTTTTAATGCCTTTTCCTTACTGTTCTAACCCACTGCAGAGGGGCTAATGGCCTCCTGTTTAAAACGCTCTGCGCAGGAACAATAACCCAACACCACCGCCTATTAATGCATGTGTGCTGGAGTTTATAGCAAATTAAAGGCTTTTAATGTTAAATGGTGGCCCACTTACACAGCTAATGTAGGCTTTAGCACCAGCCAGCCACGCGCTCTTAAAAGGGAAATCTATCTTATGATGTCATGGGCAGGAGAGGTAGAGAGTGGGTCGAGAGAGGCAACAAGACAGATGAAAGAGAGAGAGAAAGGTGTATGATGGAGAGGGAGAAAGAATGGACCTTAAGTGTAGTTACAGTATTAGCGTGCACACATACATATGGACACATCCTTATAAATGCTGGAATTTAATAGGACAAGAGGACTTCTGGTTCTTGCAGTATCCAACAAAATTCAGCATACACTTGGTCCATATCATTAAAGTAGTTACACATTCTCTCCGTTCAATACAATTATATTTATTTTTAGCCAAAGCCCAAGAAGAATGAAGCCAGTCTATCGAAAGGTCCATATTTAAGAACCAACTGCAACAAATGTCAAAAGTAACACACTTCATTAGTGAAATTCCATTGTTTTCTTTTTTTAAAGTGGTGGTCCTGGCCAGGTACTAACCAAACATGCTGGACCCTTATGCTCCAAACAAATTTGTTTTGGTTTCATCTGATCAAAGAATGTGCTGCCAGTTTTCATCAGGCCTCTTTTCATGTTCTTTGGCAAAGCTTAATCTTCCAGTTTTGTGCTGTTTTGTGAGTAATGATTTTGACTTCATGCAATGTCCTACACAATGTCTGATCAGTCACTGAAACACCATTTTCCACAGATAATCCTTGTGCCAAGTCAGAAGACCTTACACATCTGTTTTTCAATGCAGGTTTGCGTGAACAGTGAGTTGTGCGTAGCATCATTTTTCAAGGACAGCCACTGCACCTCCTGTTATTGGTAGCATGGCTCTTCCTGTACCTCCTAACAACTGCTCCAACTGTGTTTCCGCCAATGTTCAGTAGCTTATTGAGGCTCTTGTGCCATCTCCCATCTTTATGAACTCTCACAATCTGATTTCTTACTTGTTCAGACAATTCTTTACTATGTGCTGCCATGTTAGATATGACCCAGGCCAAAAATAACTAACTGGAAATCATGAGTATAATCACTTTTGTTGCAGTGATCATAGGTGTTCTCACTTTTGTTGCACTGAGGTTGCACTTTGGGGGCTGTATTTTCATTGTAGTCTGTCTAACCTGTTTCTTTTTAAATATACATTACACATCATTTTTTGCACAATTGCTCTGACTAGAAATGATGAGGGGAAAAATGCATGTGATGACACAAATTTTGTGTTGATTTGAATGTTCAGACCTCACTCTATAGATGACATTAACAAAAATATTTCACCCCTGTGCTCATGCAGGCCTGGGGACTTAGTGTTTTGAATTTATTTTGATGCGTCTGCACCAGCAACAGCCAGGACCCGAGTCAGTATGTTTTCTGGATGTACGTCCGTCTATCTGTCCCATTCTTGTAAACGCAATAACTCAGAAATGTCTTGAGGGAATTTCTTCAAATTTGGTGCAAACATTCACTTGGACTCAAGGATGAACTGATTACATTTTGGTTGTCTAAGGTCAAAGTTCAAGGTTACAGTGACCTCATGTCCTTGTGAATTTGATATATATAGAACGCCCAGAGGGAATTTCATTAAATCTGGCACAAACATTCACTTGGAGTTCAGGATGAACTGATTAGAATTTATTGGTCAAAGGTCAAGGTCACTGTGACCTCACAAGATACGTTTTTGGCCATAACTAACAAATGTGCTAATTATGACACAATTTAACACAAATGTCTAATAGAATAAAATGATTGTATATGATTATATATTTTAATGAATTCTATATCCAAATGGTCAAAGGTCAACTTTACTGTGACATTATTATAATCTGCAAAAACACTCGTTCTGCTGTATTGACAGTTTCAGTTTGAAAGCCCCCAAACATTCAGACCTGATGCTGTGCTGCTTAATTGTGCTAAGTGAAGTAATAATAATAAAGCTCCTTTGATTATTTGACTGTCTGAGCCATGATCCTGACCAGGTTCTGTGTTTGCTTTACTGTATACATTGGTTTTTTTTGGGTGAAACTGCCTAATTAAAACTCTCTTACTGCATGTTCTTTCCCTTCTCCCGTGATCTCTCGTTTCTCTGTGCCCCTCCTTTGATATCTCTTTGATGCTACCTCCACCCCTCTGTTTGCCTTTCCATCTCTTCAGGTATGTGTATGAGCTGGAGGCCACTACAGACGGTGGGACTGGTGTGAGTGACAAATATGTTATACAAGCTCCAGTCTCATGCCCTACTGGGATCCCACCTCCCCACAATGTGACAGTGTTAGGTCCCCATTCCATCTCTCTTGCCTGGACCCCTCCTGGTGAGTGGATGGATGGATGGATGGATGGATGGATGAATGGATTTCAACCCGCTCCTTGGAAATAATTTCAGAAGCTTGTGTGTAGCTGTGCCATATTTACATTTTATAAGTCAGGCTTGATTTACACTTAGAAACAAGGTTGACTGTACCTCTGATATCTAAAGTATCTAAATCTTGTAAATTATCCCGGAGACTTGTGTTTCTGTCCTACTCCTATGTTGAGGAGCATTGATGATATTATTAAAAGAATACTTGAAAATGGGAATTTATGCTGGTGGAAAACACACGTAACCAGTGGCTCCTTCCACTTCCAATTTAATTTGTTGCACAGCAGCTAGAGCTATACAATAAACCCACAGACTGAGAGGGCTTCCTTCTCATTTTCTTATGATTAGACAGAAAATGCGAACAGAGTTAATGTGATACATACGGTGTCAATATTGTACATGAAGTCATATTTCAATATATTCAATACTGAAAAATTCCTGTCACATTCATTGGATTTAGCTCTACAAGACAAAAAGAAAAAAAATATTTTCACCATATCAAAGTTTTTTGCTCCATGGGAACAAGTCCAAGGGTTAGACTGAAAAAAAAGCCCCGGAGTAGTTTTCCATTCACCTTCTGGCCTCTCAGGACCTGGACACACATACACTGGCATACATGAGCATACACTTGGGGCTGAGTTTCATGCTCATGGGGCAGTGATTGTCTGCCCTAACCCATCCATCATTGACTATTACTCTCTCATTAGGCTGATTTCCTATCTCAGAAACTGCTTATAGGGCCAACTAGCAAAGACAGTTCACTCTGTGCGTGCGTGCTTGCGTGTGTGACTTGGTTTCTGTATATTTGTGTCTGTGTTTATGTATGCATCTTTATACATGTGTATTTGAGAGTCTGTGTGCGTGTGTGTGTGTCTGCCAGTGCGTGTGTGTGCGCATATGTGTGTGTGCATGTCATTGTGGAGATATTTCCATAGGCAGGCCTATTCTATCGTTATTACGGGTTGATTTTAAAGGTGAGGAAATATCGGCTGGGTTCTCACGCTTGGTTAACTCCCTGAGCCCAGAGTCTGGAGTGTTTTCGACTTGTGTGTGTATGTGTATGTGTGCGTGCCAGACTCCCTAACAGAGTGTCTATCTTTGTGTATGTATATGCACATGTGTTTGTGTCTTATGCATACATTGCATACATTGACTGACGTATGGCTAGTAAAAAGACATTTAGTCTAGGATCAATTCCTCCATTGTTTGTATCTGTCTGTGTGTTTCATTTTGAGCGGTGGGGATGTCAAAGCAGCTGATTGGTTGTTAATAATAGAACTTAAATATTACAGTGACAATTAAACCTGGCTGAGCAACATACCGATGAAAGAGAGACACATTATCATCCCTGTGTGTGTGCTTACACATAAATATCTGTGTGTGTGTGTGTGTGTGTGTGTTAGTGTGTGTTAGTGTGTGTGTGTTAGTGTGTGTGTGTTAGTGTGTGTGTGTGTGTGTGTGTGTGTGTGTGGGGACTATGTGAAAGTGTATTAACGCAGCTAAAGTGTGCTCATATGAAAAAGCGCCATGTGCTGAAGTCAGAGGAGTGTGTGTGTGTGTGTGTGTGTGTGTGTGTGTGTGTGTGTGTGTGTGTGTGTGTGTGTGTGTGTGTGTGTGTGTGTGTGTGTAGGTGTGTGTGTAGGTGCTTGTGTGCATATGTGAGTTGGGGGGTGAATAATTGAAGTCTTTCATTTGTCTGGTAATCAGTTCGTTCTCGAGATATCAAGAGTTCATGAATGTTGAATAACCCATCACAATACAGTAGGCCTGAATTATGGAAAAACCTCCGGTGAGAATATTAACAAAGTCTAAGTGCATGTGTGTATCTGTGTGTGTGTTTCTGAATGTATACATTTGTGTGTTTTTGTCTGGTTGTGAGACCACAGTGCCAGGATTGTAAAGGCTAGATCATTCAGTGTCAAGAAAAAAATATAAGCAGATATGTAGATTTTGTTGTAGGAAGCCATATCCTTTACAGCTAGTTATAGTGCTTATCAATCAAATTTTCCTCTACATAGTCAATTAAAATCAATGGAGTTATGACTTTGGGTTTCTGATTTTCCTTACAAAGCAGAGGAAGTAGCTACAACAGGCAATTGCCTTTTTGTAGTATAGTTGTTCTATCAGGTTTATTTTACAGCCTGCTTTATTTAGGCTGTATGCTGTACTAATGTTGTTGACAATGTTGAAAATAATGAAGATAATGAAGACTACAATTACTTTCAACATTAATTTATGTTATTTTATTATTTTTATTATTTATGTTAATTTAGATTTTTTTTAACTTGTACTGTCATGGATGTGACATGTTCTCAAAAATGTAAGTTGGTGATGTTATGTCACAGTCCATGTATGTAGCTTTAAGGGTCATCTTAAATTTATATCCCTTACCTTGTGTTTTTGTTTCAGTTATAAATGTACTCCAACAAATTACTAAGTGAAGGTAATCATATTGTGTATCTTTCTCCTTTTCCACAGTTCAGTTCAAAAGCAGCCAGCCTGTAAACTACAACATCTTGTTTAATCCAGGAAGTGACAGAGCCATAGTGCATCATGCTGGGCCAGACCTGCACCGCACTGTGACTGGTCTAGAGCCGTTCACTACCTACGACATCAGAGTGCAGGCCTGTCAGATTGGTAAATATCTTTCAACTTGAACTTAAGTGAGGAAATGAATGAATTTAGCGTAAAGAAACTACTTTAGATAGCAGCACTGTTTATGATTGAAATCACATTGCTTTACTCAGTAAGGAGGCCAATAAGATTAAAACTCTGAGTGTAGTTAAAATAGTTAGTTAATAGATTTATTCTCTGTGGCCTGTAAAGGTGGCCAAACAAGGCCTTAGGATGCCAAAGACACCTTGTTAGATGCATCTAACATCTAACATTTTCATCTTACTGTGTTTTGTGACATGAGAGGTAAGAAGCCCTGTGATGCAGGGGGCCTACAGAGAATAATTAAACAGTAGCTAATGGCCTTTTTCCTTTAGGCAAAGTATAGCATGCTCTAGTTGAGGTGGTTCAACTCTAGCCTCACGGCATGTGTAACCACACTGACCTGTGATATGCTTCATGAATGAGGTCATACAGGGGGAAAAGCTTTTGTAGATGTGATTTGTTATGTTAATGTAAAAGAGGCAAATATAATGAAGACGTGTGTGTTGAAATGTCTGTGTTTTGTGACCTGTTCCTCCTGTTTTGCTCCTTGCAGAGGGGTGTGGAGTAGGAGAGGGTGTTTCAGTTCGAACTTTAGAGGCCGCTCCAGAAGGTCTGCTACCCCCCTCAGTAAAGGCAGCTGGAGCCAATGTCCTGGAGATCCACTGGTCACCCCCCAAAAAACCTAACGGACTCATCACCTCCTACCATGTATACAGGTAACATACACACGGAGAAGTGCTGGAAACACTTAATAAATCTTCACACAGTCATTTGTGATTTTACTGGGGGTACATTGCACCTTATCCCAGAGAGAACGTAATGGGTTGAGCTAACAGTCAAATTTTACAACACATCCTCATACCAAAATATCAAAATACTTTGTTTGCCAGCGGGTTCAAAAGTCACCTATATGACCTCTCCATCGACCTTTATCCATCATTCCATCAAACCTTAGCATTTTCTGGTCTGCCACTTCTCTTTTTACGGTATGGTTTTGTACTTGGTTGTGATAAGGGGAAGATCGCCAACTGTTTTAGGAGACAGTATCAAAGACAAATGATTTGCACGATCATAGCCATTTCTGAAGAGTGTACAGAGACTGTTTTGTATTCACATATGACTCACTGTCTAGAGGAGCAAGGCCTCTGTGATCATTAGAAAGTGTATCTAAAACAAATGATCAACTATAGACAAGCAGACAGAGAAACAGCTACACTTTATACAAAGCTGCTTTCACATTCTTATGTACAAACCAGTGTGGCCATGTGCTCACACTATCTACTCAGTGTATCTCTACAACACTAATGAACCAGAAGTATTACATACAGTATATCATACACACATACCCTTTGCATACATGTAATGTACACATACAGGGTATATTGAGAAGCCTAGAAGTTTTGTGTCTCTAGGCAAATGTCCACTGGCCAATCTACGTACGTTGTGTGCATGTGCATGTGTGTGCGTAGTCATGCTGAAGGTCGTGGTCTGCTTGTTGACCAAAGAGTGTGTGATCTGTATGCAGGGTCAGACCAGACTAAGCCCTTTAACTCCTCAGGAAACACACATTAGCATAGCAGTACACACACACTGACACACCTGGCATGATCAGACTCAGGCAGACAGGGACTTAGATAAAATAGGAAAATCTCTGTCTCTCTCTCTCTCTGTCTCTCTCTCTCTCTCTCTCTCTCTCTCTCTCTCTCTCTCTCTCTCTCTCTCTCTCTCTCACACACACACACATTCTCACACACTTACCTGAAACCCTGTGTAATCACAGACAAAGGGGCTTACCAAGACATCGGGGTGCTTGCATCAGCCACTGGCTTACACATAATGTTTAAGATGTGATGTTACATTTATTTCAGTTCCACAACTTAAGTGTGTTTATTCTCAGTACACTAAACTATACTAAAATATAGTAAAACACTTTAATATAACATACTTGAGATACTTGAGATAACTCATTTAACATACTGATCCTTTTTCTTTGTTATGCCTCCACACCGGTGACAGCCAGGGCCAGAGGCATTATATATATTGTACATATATTGAACATATGGCAAATACACAAAAGAGAAACGTCAATATATTTTTGATACAGGAGCAAAAAGACACCTAAAGTTTATTTTGAATATAGTATACTTATTTGCTCACCAATGTTTTCCAGAAATACATGAAAATAATACCCTATGGTTTATTCAAGTGCAGTACAACCTAAGTGGTTTCAATTTAATGTCACTTTCAGTATATCAATTTTAAATAAATAAAAAATGTGCTTAAATATATGAACACACACAGAAAAACCACAACAGAAAATTAACTTCTACACTTTTTATGTTAGGACTATAAGGAATAAACAGTCAATGGCTAATCCAAGCATTTATTTTATCATAGGCGTCCAGTAGGAACAGAGGAGGAGCTGCTGGTTTTCATCTGGTCCAGTGGGCCACTTGAATTTTTTGATGCAAGCCCCAACCTGCAACCCTTCAGCTACTTCCAGTACAGGGTACGAGCCCACAACTCCAAAGGCTCAGTTCTGAGCCAATGGGCTTTTGCCCAGACCTTACAAGCAGAACCACAAGATATGACCCCTCCCACTGTCACACCCACTGGTGAGTTCACTCAGTCACATGGGAATGCTTTTGTCACATGAAAATGCTCTTGATTTGAATCACTTTACCAGCCCCATATGTGCACTTTGACAGGTGCACACTCAGTCCATCTGAAGTGGAGTGAACCAAGACAGCCCAATGGTCTAATTTCCAATTATAGACTGGTTTACAAGAAGCACCAACAGGACCCAACGCTCAACTCAACTGCTGTTACTGCTCTCACTGTGGAGGTAAATGTACACATACACAGTAAATGGTGGATGATGAGAACATGCGTTTCTCTGTGAGAGTCTCTTCCTTGATCACACGTTGTTTTCTGCAGGTATTTGTTGAGTCTGATATCCTTATGGCGAAGGCGCATAGGTTTCTGTGCACTAATAACATTCTTCACGCATTCAAAAATTGTGAGCGTTATATATGATGCAGTGTGTGTGTGTGTGTATTGTCATTTGCAATGCATGTAAAGAAATTTGGACTCTACCTGTGGTGCTGGTGCCATCTGTTTGCCAGTGAGGGGCCTGCAACACACACACACACACACACACACACACACACACACACACACACACACACACACACTTATAAACTGCCCATGGCCAGTTATTCTCCAGGGCCCTTCCCACAATTCTGTGCCATGCCTGATGCTCTGAGGGAATAACTATGAGCAAGCCCCCGCAAAACAAACCCACACGTGTGCACACAAAAAGACTACATAGGAACACACAAACACTTCCTCACGCAGGCTCACACATGTACTGTACACACACACATATACTACTGTTAACAGCAGCCATCTAGCCTAAATAGGAGTTGGCAGCTCAGTAAGCAGGCTAAGTTCACCCAAAGCTACAATGAGTTATTTGCTAACAGTGGCTAGCATCTCTCTGCACGCCACCACACACCTGTATGTGTGTGTATTAATGTCTGAAACTTAGTCTTGTATAATTCTACTTACATGCAGCAGTTATCATTTAAAAAATAGATTTATCTCTGTGACAGAAAACAGAAAAATATAGAAAGAGAAAGAAACAAAAACACGACCAAACAAGATAAATAGAGTTTCAAACATGACATGATGATAAAAGGAGAAAGAAAAGAGGAATGGAAATGAATACATTAATGTATACACACTTAGAAGGAAAGGGGAAAAGGCAAAAGACAGAGAGCCAGACTGGCAGAACAAAGAACAACAGAGTGAATAGAGAAGGTAAGAAAGAGAAAAGAGCGCTAGAGGGAGACCAAAAGAGAGAAGTGGGGGGGGGGGGACAAGTGAAGGAACAAAAGGGGGGCAAGACAGAGTGATAGATCTGGGAAGGAGGGAGGAGAGCAAAAGGGGGAGAAGAGGTAGAAGTATAGATCTATATTCTGTCCATACGAGTGGCCTCTTCTCCCTCTGTGACCTTTGGCTTGTCACTCATAATTAATACAAGATGTAAATGGAGACCTTTCACCTTCTCATTGATATGGAACACTGTGTTTGTGTGTGCGTGCGTGAGTTTGTGTGTGTATGTGAGAGAGGCTCATTGACATGGCATAGACTTATTTTGGTGGCGGTCATTTGTCACACAGTTGCCTTCACCACATGCACTCCGTCGTTTAGGAATACACAAAGAAAGTGAAAATGAGAAACAACGTTCCCAGCAAACTTTAAAAGAACAGCCTATATTAGGGTTTTGTAACATTTGTGTCTTGACTAGTAATGCAGAGCCAAAAAGTTTTTTTGATATATTGGGTTTGACATTTAAAAAGCAAATTCATTTGAGGTTTAAAAGACATAAGACAATCAATCAGTTAAAGGACTATATTTGACAAACAATTACTGTTGTTGTTTTGTTTTTTTACTTTTATATTGCTGTTTTAGCAGCTTTAAATGAACAATGTTTTCCTCAAGCTAAGATAATCATATGTTAAACATCTCCTGCAAACATGCACAACAAAATAAACAAGAGCAGCTAAAATGTTGGGAAGTGAGTGAGTGAGTGGCTGGATCTGTAAGGGAGTTAAATAGTCAAACTTAATGACAGCTGTAGTTTTTTGAGTGCTAACAAATTATAAGAACAAGTCTTATTGTAGATTCTTAAATATTGTAGACTATGGATTGTAACCACGGGAACATCTTTCATTTTTTCAGAACTACTGATGACAGAAACTCTTAATGAGAGATTGCCGGAAGTGACGTTAGGGCTTTTTTTCTCACTTTTATCTTCACTGATCAACCCATTCTTTTCTGCTCATAATCTCTTAGTTTGTGGATGTATTGTTGTGTGCACGTGTGTGTGTCCATTTGGTATGTGTGTATTTGTGTGTGTATTGATCTCAGGCTGGGCTGGGAACCCTGCTCTGTGCCAGCTTGGCTGATTAATGGGGTCGTCATGGCAATCGGACGGAATGAGGGTACGAAGCGCAGGCGGCCTGCCTCACTAGATCCCTACGTGCCGCCTGGCACACACACAGTCTCTCACACACACACACACACACAGTCTCACACACACACACACACACATACACACACACACACATTCTCCCTCCATGCCTTACACCTTTCTGACAGACATGTTAGTCACTCACACAGGGTGTCAGGTTGCCTATCCTGCATCGTGGTCCTCTTACTTCTCTTATGCTTTATATTTCTCTTCATTATTTTCTGTCCTTCTTTTTTCAGGCCTCTTGTTGTTTACCCATGTCACCTCATTATTTTTGTTTGTTTCTTTGTTTCTTTTTTAAACTGGCACGACATATTAACTCATTTCTTTTCTCTGGATCTTCATACCACTGGAGATTGTAGCTACCAAGGATCATTTTGTTCTCACTGTTTCAGGGCTTGTTTCATGCACCTGCCACTCACCTCATGCCTCCCCATGATCTTCTCCTCTCTTCCATGAGTCACCCTTTCTTTCTTTTTCCCTTGTCATTTTCTGCTCACACACACACACTACCTTGCAGCTCTTCTACCTTTTTCTGCCTCTTCTTTCATTTACCTCCCCATCCTCCTCTTCAATCCCTGCTGCCCTCTCTTCTATGATCTCTGCCCTGGTTTAATCTAAACCCTTTAATTTTCCCCTCATTCCACACTCTACATCCCCTTCCACTCTATCCTTATATCTTAATTTCCCCAACTCCTCACTTCCTTTTGCCCGCTTCTCTCACCAGTTTTACTATCGTCTTTTGCCTCTTCCACACTAACCCTTCTGTGCACCTGCATCCCCCTATCACTTCCCTTACTCCCTTTCCACCTCCTTTCCCTCTCCCATTCACTCTTGTCTCCTCTCTTACATCCTCGTGCCTCCTGTATTCCCCTGCCTACCACCTCCCTTTCTCTCCTCCTCTAGTCTTCTGTCCTTTTCTCCCTCCCTTGGCTGTTCCAGATGTTACATTGCAGCCCTTGGGATCACTCGTGAAGGGAGACCATGTGAATACATATATGTGTGTGTATGTGTGTGTGTGTTACTTTATGTGGATACATATGTCTGAATATGACTGCATGTGAGTATGTGTGTGTGCGTGCATAACATATTTTTGTTTGTGTGTGTATGTGCAACAGTGTGTCTGTGTGTGTGTGCGCGTGTGCTGTATTAATACATCCCATTGATCAGAGCAGGACCCCTGACAGTCATCATCCCTGAGAACCATCTGGCCGACGCCTGACGCTCCCTCACCCAAACACAAGCTGACACCCTATTAATCTGTTACCGCCATGCATACATACGTGTGTGTGCGTGTGTGTGTGTGTGTGTGTGTGTGTGTGTGTGTGTGTGTGTGTGTGTGTGTGTGTGTGTGTGTGAATGAATGAATCAGTGAGTGTGTGGTTATGTGTAGAGTATGCGTTAACATTTTTGCCATGTGCATGTTTCAGCGTGCGTGAATGCACACGTGTGTGTGTGTGTGTGTGTGTGTGTGTGTGTGTTCCAAACCCTAACCATGCACACACATACGAACGTGTACACGCACCACTCCACCATCCGCCAACAACAGCCGGCGCTGAAGGGAGCTGAAGGGTGCTTGGAAATTAAGGTTATTACACAAATTGAGCCATATGGTCTAAATATTTCAGAGCTGAAATTTACTAGGCAATAAAAATGGCCCCTACCTCGGTAATGGTGTAAATTACAGCTTAACCACCAGCGCTAATGATGTCCTTCTGTACGCCCCGTAACCAACCGTACATGAAGGACACATTGTTTAAAAAATACCCCAGGAAAAGCAAGAGAGACACAGAGAGGGTGAGAGAGGGAAAGAGTAGAAGGGATGAGGATAAAGGGGGAAAGATGAAGGGAACAGGAAGTAAAAGAGGGGGAAGAAGAGTGTGAGGAAAGAAGATGGAGAGAAAGAGAGAGTGATTAATATAGAGAGTGGAGAAAGAGAAAGAGAGAGAGAGCTAGCAGCATGTTTACAATCTGTTAGTTTACCATTAAGAGCCCGTCAGAGAGTGCGGGACAGCGAAGGCCAGCCGGCGAACTGTGTCTGAAAGCCAACATGAGGTTCAGAGTCGGTGTGTGTGTGTGTGTGTGTGTGTGTGTGTGTGTGTGTGTGTGTTTGTGTAGTTTGGCATGCACAGCTAGGAGACGTATAAAAGTATGGACATGTTATCAGAATATGTTGTGTGTACTTAGACATGAACGGCCTGCAGGTGTTTGAAATGATTTGATCGGGACAAACAAGTAATAGTGTTAAACACATGCTGTGAAACACAAAGTATGAATACAGATGCAGAGTTTGGGGAATATGTAAACATGCATATGTTTTGGGCCGGCTCATGGGTTTGCTTGGGAATGCATAGTAAGGACGTGAACAAATAAGATACAGTTTTACCTCAAGGACTGAGAATAGCTCACTGGGCGTTTTTTCTGGTTACAGGTGAGCTGACCTTAAGTACAGGTAGCCTGAGCATTACATTGTTGAAAATGTGAGTGGAAAACCCATCCCATGCCAAGTATTTGATTACTCACTGGAAAAATGTATTTGTACTGTCAAGTACACGTCATTGTCCAAACAATTCTGCACATGCTAAACATCACCTGTAAGAAAAGGTGGGACATATTATGCTTTTCCTTCATTTCAGTCATATATATAATGTTGCAGTGTCTTAAGTTTAATGAAAACCTAAAATAATGAGGTAAACGTATGTAAAAGTAATCCCTGTAGGAGAAATGCTCTGGCGTCAGACTGCTCTGAACACAAAGTTTCCAAAGGTTTTTTTCTGCTTCAGCTAGTTGTGGATTTCTTCATGTGG